CTTTTATGTTCGACAGAATGATGTGAGTTACAGCTTAAGAGGTTGCCTGTATCGCAAGCTTTGCGGTACACTGTTGTATCTAAGCGGCCGGTACTATTTCGGAACACATTAACATTCAGAAAAGGGAGCGCACAGTTCTGTTCAACTTCGTGTGTGAATTGGATTGATGATTCAACGCTGTTTAAAGCTAAATGAAAGTCAGCAACATGGTCCTAGTTTAAAATCACAAATTTGCCGTCCACGTAACGTTTGTAAAACCCTATCGGGTGCGCATTCTGTTCAAGGAGAGTCTCCTCCACATGCTCCATAACAAGATTCGCCATTGTAACAGAAATTGGACTGCCCATTGGACATCCTTCAATTTGGTGATAAATTTGTCCGCGAAACGTAAAATGCGACTGTTTAAGACAAAAACGCAGCAAAATTACAATGTCTTCCACCGTTAACGATGTGCGTGAGGGGAGGCCGTCATCCCTATGTAGGCGTGTTTCGACTATCTCAACAGCCCGAGAGGTGGGGACATTTGTGAAGAAGGACACAACAATAAAGGAAACCATAATGTCGTCTTCGTCTAGGACGTGATCCCGAACCAGGCCCACGAGTTCTTGGGAATTACGTACTGTTAAACCATTTTTTCCTGTGACCGGAGTGATGAGTTCGACCAGATATTTTGACAGATTGTACGTCGGAGGCCCAATAAATGAAACAATAGGACGCAACGGGCACTCGGGTTTGTGAATTTTGGGGAGACCATACAATTTAGGTGTAGATCCGTCAGAAGAAAAAAGACGACGGTACGTGGCACCGTCTAGGCGTTTCTTCTTTTTTAGATCGCGGAGGTGATCAACAAGGGATCTCTCAGATTTAGGAGTGGGGTCCCGTGGTAACGTCACAAAATGCGCTGTGTCGTCAAGAATTACCTGCAGTTTTTCATAGTAAATTTTTTTATTGAGTATTACAGTGCCTTTCCCCCTATCAGCTGTAAGAATAATAATTGATTGATCCGATTTAAGTTCCTGTAGTGCCGATTGCTCCACCTTGCTCAGATTTGATGGCGTTACTTTAGCACTGTTAAGCATAAACGATATGCGGCTACGGGCCAGATTAATCCCGGTCGTATCCCGTAGGTGACGAAGTGCCTCCTCAATTTCAATTATAAAGCCTCTTTTGGGAACTACACGTGGGGCTAGAGCGAAATCAAGGCCTTTCGAAAGAAGACTTACAGGACCAGCGGAGAGCTGCTTGAATGACAAGTTGTAGACCGGTGGTGTGGGGACCTTTCGAATTAGTTGGGACAGTTTTCTGTCATGGGTGTCCGTGCACTTGACCTTTTCCGTTTCTTCTGCTTGCTTCCGTGCACCGAACACGTGGTGCATGTTGTCAGGTTGGAGAGGCCGTCGTAGGAACCTCTCAGTTGTAACAAGCCGGTGCCGACAGTCGATGAGTTTCCGCTTGTTGTTTAGCATCCGTGCTTTGAGATAGTCGCGGCTGAAGTTTTGGGCCAGTTTCTTCCGTAGGGTGTGTCGACCCGGGGGCGACATCGCAGACCACCTGGAATCACGTTGTGGTTCAGGCACTCACGGTTGAAGCGTTGATGGCATTCCAGGCGGACGATCTCTGTGGACTGGTTGAAGTATTCTCTCAAGTTGCCCAAGGCAGCAGAGCCGTGCAAGGTGCGAATCAATGCAAAAATATTCCTACTTCCGGGAATCATAATGATAACAAAAACTGCGCCAACTTTACTTAACAAGATTAATAATTTAATCAAACGTTTCGTCTCCCATGCGGGAAACATCATCAGTGAAACCTTCAAGCAGGAATGAGCGAAAAAACTTCGACAGTCCTATTTAAGCAAGTCCGCGTACACATCGGTGAGGAGGACGCGGTTGGAGTTGCAAGCCGACGAGTCATTTCAGATGAACCATGATTCCACGAACCTGCGTGGACCCCGCCTTTGTTCACTCGCCAGAGTGGATGCATTCTCAAAGTCGAAACTGTGACCCGTATTCCAACAATGGTCTACGAGTTCCGTCTTCGCTTCGCTCTTGTCGCATGTGTTTCGACTTCGAGAATGCGTCCACTCTGGCGCGTGAACAAAGGTGGGGTCCTCACAGGTTCGTTGAATCATGGTTCACCCGAAGTCACTCATCGGCTTGCAACTCCAACCGCGGCCCCCTCCCCGATGTGTAGGCGGACTTGCTTAAATAGGACTGTTGAAGTTTTTGTGCTCGTTCCTGCTTGAAGGTTTCACTGATGATGTTTCCCGCATGGGAGACGAAACGTTTGATTAAATTGTTAATCTTCTAAGTAAAGTCAGTGCAGTTTTTGTTATCATTATGATTCCCGGCTTTTGGAATGTTTTCGCACTAAAAAAAAGAAAAAACCTTTCAAGTCGAAGGAAAATACAACTGTAGGAGAGCGGATCGAAGTCAGCTATTCCAATACTTTTTCTCGCTCCCTTTATAGCCCCGATGCTGTCGTCATTAACCTCTTTCCTAATGCATGATTTCTGATCAGGTTGGTGACGTCAGCATCGGGTGTATATGAGGAGCGAGAAAAATAAATAAAATAACCTAATTTTGGGGGTTGCTCTACTGTTGTCTTCCTTCAACTTGAAAGTTTCTTAGTTTTTCGCACCATAGTCTCAGGTATTAAATTTTGATTAATGAATGAGGAATCATTCTAAAGTTCTTTACGCGAAGAAAGGTTCGAAGAAGTTTTGTTTGATGAGTCGGAGCATTGTCGTGACAAAAGGTCACGAGTGCGTCTTTTCAGGTATTTTTTTTTCCAACGCAGGAGAAGTCGTTTTTCCACTGCGTCACTTTAGAATGCAGTCGTCACTATTGCGACCATTAAGAGACCCAGACTGCCACCAAACTACCACAGAACTACCAGCGTTTTTTCTGCATCGATTGAAGCGCAAAACTTCGGCGGCGTTTGGCTTCGTAATTCAAATACGGCGTCCAGCACTCGTCTATTGGTGCGAACGATAAAATAAAAATAAAATTTGTCTCGTTATCACGCGAAAAAGCTCCGCGATGCGACGCACTTTCAGAAATCAAATAATAACACGCTACTCTCCAAAGATGAACCTCATCATTTCTATTATTTGAAAAATTGGCGAGACCAGGTTCTACCATGATTGTTAGAATTCTTATTACTATTTTGATGTGTTTCGACTAATTTCTAACAAAGTTCTGCATATTTCAAGATGATATTTGAGCTACTCACCCCTCGAAATACGTAAAAAGTAAATAGGAGACCTTACTGCCTGAATGCCCCTCGCAGCCGACTACACCCACCACTGAATTTACGATACACGTTTATAGGCAGCCACAAAAGTGGAATAAGAATTAAATTGAGCCGAATCGAGGTTACATAAAAACCGGTGCATCAATGCGATTTTCACAATTGGACAGGATAATTTATATTTGCATGAAATTTCTTACAACTGAAAATTAGGTATAAGGGTCAGCTAGAATATAAACATGAACACACAAAGAATAGAAAGGGACAAACACTCCTCTGACTAACAACTTGGTTATAATTCCTCTTCTTCATCTTTAACCCTAAGTACTTCCTATTGTTTGTCTTTAACCACAAGTACTTCCTCTTCAGAGAGCATTCACAGGAGCCACATAATTGTAAATACGTTTAAAGTTTAAATTATATTTAACATGTACCATTATGTAAAAAGTAAACTACACCTAACATGTACCAACTAGCTCAACTTGAGACTAAAACTCGAAATTGTTTGCTTTTGAGGGATCCGCTGCTGATTCCAAAAGAGAGGACTGCACACTTGCCGTTTTGAGCGTACCATGTCGGAATCGGGTATATAACGTTTAATTTTTGCTAAGAGCATCCGTTGTTCACTCTTCGTATTAGAGAGTTGCAACGTTCCCAGCCGCTAGGCATTTTTGTGTAAGGTTGGTGAAAGCATTACCTAGATTTTAACTGCTTTTTTATGTGGTATTGAAATGGCTCTTCATGACTGGAAATAGTTATACGAGTATAGGAATAAACGGTGGTTTGTTGGATATCGCTATCTACTTTTTGAAAATGTTTCTTCTAGAGCCCCGGGAGAGACAACCACTGCCATGAACGAGTAAAGCTCGGGGAATGGTGAAATTGTGGAAGCGCTCTTACCTAAAAATATAGCCTGAAGTGTAACACCTAACATGCGCGAAGTAGTCTCATTCATGATGAAGTAGAAGAAAAAGAAAACTTCGTAGTCTTCAGTTATTACGCGGAAACACTTTCTCATGCTTGCTCAAATTTGCTATTTGCCGAGCTACTTTAGTTGCTAGAGCGATTGAGTTTAAGAAGTTTGTTTTTAAGAAAAAGTTACAACCGTCTTACATTAAAAAAATAAAATTGTCTTTTATCATTTCGTTACCAAAATGCATTGCTGAAAACTATTTATTGTTTCAAAATTTTATGGCAATCGCCAGTGTCAAAAACAAAGTTCTATGGCAATCACAATCCAATAATTAAGTTTACTTTATGTCCCTTTAGTTTTTTTAACCCACTTGGGCGTAATACTGACTCCATATATTTAGGCGAGACAGCTACACAATGTAAAAAAAAAGTTATTCAAAGTGGATGTAAGAATTTATCACAAGCTGTTCAAGAAATCTTGACAGAAGTTTATTGAATGTGGATAGGACGACGTAGCCCCAACACCCCTGTGATCGCGTACTGTACTTTGGCAATTTACGAGGTCTTTAAGGATTTATTTTTCAGAATCACATCTAAATTTGGTTTCCGGGCTTAATTCTCATTGTCGTTGCCACTCAGAGACGGAGTCATTTGTGATTTCACAAAGTTACTTATTTTGAATACAGATGACGCACCGTTAAGGCATACGGCACCCTTAAGGCATGAAGCACATCTAAGACAACCTCATGCCTTAAGTGCTTTGATATAACGACTTTCGTTATTTCCGGTCCACAATTGTGCCGATTAATTTCAAACCTTTTTAGTAAATAAAGAAAAACTGCTTACGTCCATATTCTGCGCGAAATGCGGTTTCGAGGATGTACTTCCTCTGTACCAGAAATCCTTCTTGTTCCAAATAATTCGCAATAAAATGATGAGCCTTGTGCTCCTCGAATTGTAGTTCAGGATTTTCAAACACAAACTTTCCAAGAGCGTTAAGACTGCAGGCCCTTTCTTGAATCGCAGACTTGACAGTTTCGGCGTAAACATCCATCTAAAAAAGAAAAAAAAAACATAATATAAATTGGGTTATTTAGGTTTTCATTTTTGCAGTTATGTCAAATATTATTTGCCAGAACTTGAAACGTGTGTCCGCAGTTCCGTATTTTGTATAACTGAATTTTACGCCCCAAACGTTTTCACTACAGTAAATGGAAAATAAACATTTTTTTATGGTGCCGCCAAATGAGGTGCAATGTGATGTAAATCCGTATTCTTCTTCTAATAGCTGACTTCCGTTAAAGCACATACTCCAACCATTATTCACATTACCTTTTAAAAGCGTCCAACATTTATAAAAGTAAACATCTGGGCCAAAGGTCAATTCACCTACTGAATCCTAAATGTGAAGGGGTCTCTACATTCCGGAACCAACTCTGTTCCTTCATCAGAGGCGAATGTGTCCGTTGAGCAGCTTCCTCTTCCTCTAAAAGCGGTTATGAACGTTAACTCGCAGCAGCTTCCTCTGGCGGGACAATCCCTCAGCGCAGTGGTTCTCAAGCGTTGATGTTTTGCGGACCCCTTGAGAATTGGTGGATATGATAGAGGACCCCGTTCCTAGTGAGGGCGAGGGAAAGGTGTAGGTTAACTATGATAATAATTTAATAAATTAATATTGCTAAAGGCTAGTGCAAAATAGACTTGTCTCAATGACATTCACACGAGAAAACTCAGCCTAAAATAGGAACGTATTTTCTAAATCTGAAAAAAATACAACTCTCATTGCCGGACTTGAGTGATGAGACAGGACTTTGAGGAAACCTAAAATGCCCTTAGGACCCTAAGGGTCCAGGGACTCTCATTTGAGAACCACAGTCTTATCGGATTGCCCCGACACCTACATCGGCGAAACAAAACACTTCGAAAGGATCGGCCAGCACAAAAACGACGTGCGCCAATTCAAGCACGACCGCAGTAGGGAGCCTTCATGTGCGCTTTGCTAGGGTGATCCCACCCTTTGTAATTCCACTCGCCGACAAACCAGCAGCCATTTTGGTTCTCGGCGATAATTCGTCGGGCTTATAATCCTCCCGGAAACAAGCACCTTATCTCACAAGTTTGGAGCAGCGTTGTGGAACCCACCGAGGGAGAATTAGCATTTTCCCTCTAGGATGGGAGGACCGATGAACACAAAGGCCACTTTCCGGCGCACGGGGAAACAATGAGAGAAACAAAATGGCGGTGGAAGAGGGTGTGGGAAAGGGAAACAGTCAGCTGGCATCACTCTATGCGAAGCGCACATGAAGGCATTCTAGACCGCAGCACTGTTGCTGGGCGCCGCGATATCAAAGATCCCTGTGTTGACTAGGAGAAAACGTCCATCTTCGGAATTTAAATAAACCATCGGCAGAGACTTCTAGTAGAACCATGGCATATTCAGATTACACCAGAAAATATCAACAGGTGCCTTGGCAGTTTACCTACGGTATACGCTTACAGACGACGTACGCCACGTGACGAAGGAAAAGAAGAACACAACCTCTTCGAAGAGGAACGAGCTGATGCGATTCAAGCTTCACACCCGCTTTTTAGAAGAAGCTACTCCTCAGCGGATACAGTGACCCCTGATGAAGAAACCGACTTGGCTCCGGAAACGTAGGGTTTCTTCACACTTAGGGATTGGTTGGTGATTTTCTATCTTTCTCATTCTACAGGTTTGGGTTATAATTTCTCCTCGATAAAAATCGCCTCCTTCATACTGCTCTCATTACGTTGGTTATGTGGCGAGTCTTGAATCGGTTCTAGTAGTACCAATGTAGTGACCCTTTCGCGTATCATCAATGCTGGCCTGTATAAGTTAGTTTTACAGCAACACGTACACATCGTACGAGACATTAAAACTGTGTGCTCAGAAACATTGAATATATTCAGGTTAATCTCAACAATGTACAGGGAGTTCCCGAGAAGAAAAAAACCTGTTTTTCGGCCCGGGTGAATAAACCATGCCTCTGAGAAAGCTCAGACTTCATGAGAACGTGACGCTAGATGTAGGAATAAAACGCGAAAGTCTGACAGTATGAAGTTACCTGGATTAAAAGACAATTGAGAAAAACGAAATTTCTTTACGGGCCGAGGTCCATCTGAGCGTAATATTTTCAAAACGAGAAATGACACTGTCGGCAACTGCAGCATCTATCTCCCTTTCTTTTCTGGACTATACAAACTCGTTTCTCGTGAACTCCCTGTATAGTCTAATCTGTCGGAGTAACATACGGCGTGCCTTGAGTCTTCCCAAAAGAAAGAGCAAACAGTAATGAAGTAAATGTTGTAATAATACTTCCATACATTTAAGGCTATCACGTAAACATCACATTCAGGCAACGCGTTTTAAACGTGCGCATATTAATTAAGAGTAAAACTATAGTTACTGACAGTTTGAGAAGCCCAGGGAGTGGCCGTTCAAGCGCGTTGCGTCACGATTGTTTCTTATTAAACAATTGCCGGTATTATTGGCTTTAGATCAATACTGAGGTGGGCTGCCCTGTGTTTCTGAAGTTGTTTACGACTAAAGAGGAGGCATTTGTCTAAGTTGGCCAAAGATTTACAAACGTAGAATTTTATACCTTGTTTTATCTGCGTTTACGTGGAGGGCTGTGCGAGCAAGTCGGTCCTGTTGAAGGACCAGGTCCAGGGGTCTTCAACTCTGCGCGCACGACGACTCCTATTGTGTTTCATAAATATGTGGCAAAAAATCTTTCAAAAGCATAATTGGATAGGCACGTGGAGAACGGAAGTTGTAGGGGATTTGAGGTCGCTGCATAAAACAAAGTGTTCTAGCAGGAAACAAGTGTTTCCTGCTGGAACGTTTGCTGCTACAATCACGAACAAGCGTTTTTGCTTTTTTCGTGTCTTATTTTTAAGTAAGTTTTTTTTGTCGAAAGCAGGATAATAGTGTCACGAATGACAAGTGATGACGTGACGAAAACTGAAGCAAACTGAACGTTTACTGGGGCGAACTTGTTTCCAAAACAAAATAGATATATGCTAGCGTCGCAGGCGTTGATGGCGACGAAACAGCAGAATCGAACGCTGGACCGAGACTCCACAGGTCCCGCACTCCCGGTCAGCGCTGGACCTGCTGCACTGCAGCATCACTGGGGTCAAGGCCCTACTTGCCAGAAGGCGGTGGGTGACGGCCTGCCGCTGCCTAGAGAGGCGGTTTTACGTCGAATACCTTTCGTCGGGATGCTTGGCTTTGGCTGCCCGGGCCCCTAGAAGCTTCGCGTGCTCATAGGGCTCCTCACTTTAAAGCTGGAATTCTGGGTCGTCGTGTTCGAGCTTGGCCAGTTGGTCGGTCTTTTCGTTCCCAGCGATGCCGCAGTGGCTGCAGGGCACCCATTAAAAAACGGGGTCCTGGCCGGTGTGCGCATGAAGTGTGAGGATTCCGTGCCAACTTCGAAGTTGAAGGAGGTTTATGCTGCCTTTATGAGCGCGACGTTGAGTGTTTAAATAGGTTCACTTGTGATTGCGCCATATACCAGCGATCTTGGATTACATGTTTGGAGCTTGTTGCTTTTATGGTGAGTACATTATACCTCTTATACAATCTTGTGCGCAACAAAGATGAGGACAAAAGCAGAGAAAAGGACACAACAAGGCGCAACTTTTAACTGAATTTTATTGAAAACGTGTTCCGGTATATATAGTCTCAACCGTCGTTACAATGACAACCAAAAGACAAAAGTAAAGGAAAAACACCATGACAGAGCATAACTAGGAAACAACACTATCTCGTTTTCAGGAAAAACAATTCCTTCTCCGATAATGCAATCGACGGCATAGCAACAAACGTGTCTCCTGAATAATCAATGTGCTCGGCTTCTATGATTTCGCGTGTTACCGCTGACTTGCATTTCCCAATTTTTACGCATTCATCCAACAGTGGGGTACAACCGCATGTCCTGCAATGCAAGTGAAGAAAGCCACCGTTCTTTTTTTCACGTCGTTATATTGCTCGCGAAGCCGATCATTTAGGCAGCGCCCCGTCTTCCAGACGTAGTGCCTGCCACAGGACAACGGAATGCGATAAACCCCGCCAACTATACAGTCGACAAATTTTGTTCTGTGTTTCTTTTCACATACGTGTTTGGAACGCGCGCCAGGCTCTGATAGTTTGCACAGGTCCATGAGCTTATTGGGCGCAGAAAACACTACCTCTGCATTTGATCGCATTGCTACTTTCTTATAATTGTGCGACACTCGGTGTCTATACGGAATCACAACAACTTTTCCTTTTTGACTTACCGGCTGGCTCCCATTGTTTTCCACGAAACAGCGCTTTCGTAGAAGGCCTTCCGCGACCGCAACAGGAATGTGTTTAGGATACCCAGCTGCGAGCAAGCGCAAAACTTGCTGATTAAAACCCTAGGGGATCAAATGCTCACAGGACTTTTTTAGTGCATTGGTGAAACACAGGTTAACAATACTCCTTTTGACTAGCTTGGAGTGGGCTGAATGAAAGGGAAGTAACGACTTATTCGCAGGTGGCTCATAGCACCAACAGATGTGGTCGTTGAGAAATAAAAATCTGATGTCAAGGAAGCGAATAGTGTTGTCCACAGGTATCTCATGCGTGACCTCGAGTGGGCCAAAACATTCCTTAAAAGTGGTCAGTGTTTTGACAGCCTCTGCTTCAAAAGCGTTTATGTCATTATACCTACCGGAAAGTTTTAAACGGACGTTCGCCCTGTTGCCGGTTTCTAGTTTGCAACCGGGTGGCAGAGGCGTCCTATATAAATCCTACTCCACCTAAACGTTAATCGGTAGTTTTTAAAATGCTCGTTTCCTTTTTTGCGTTTTGTGGCAAGATGAAATTTTCTTAATTTGTTTGCTCCGCTCCTGCCCCAACAGCGCAAGTGTGGAAAACGGGAATGTGGGATAATTTCTTTCCGGAAAATAAAACAAGAAAGGAGAACTATGGAGAAACGCCGCCCCATTCTGTGGGGTCCCAAGAATAATGGTTTACGTCTCTGCTCCGTTTCTGTCAGTTTTCGATCCCGGTTCTTTGAGCAATCTCACAATGTTTAAAAATTGCCGGGTTTATGGCATTGCCTTGTGCGTTTTAATTTCTTTGCAGGCTCAACACTCCAATATAGTCATGCAACTGAAGATACTGAAGGACAACTGGCTTAATCTACGGGCTGGACCCCGAGAACTCCTCTCAAAGTTCAAGGCAGCTTCAAGAGGTGTTCGTTTTACAGTAAAGCTGTATACAACTTCGTTGGTCGAATTCTTCTGGGTCGGCGTCCTCAGGAAAAAAA